AATATTCATTTGTAAATAAATCAAAGCATTCAACTTTTCTCTCTATCTGAACATTCTAAAACTCAAAGGGTCTCAGTAAGTATTCTTTCTTCCATGGCAATCATTCATTTGCATAAGTTCAATAAGAATCTGTTCTCCTTGTAACAGGACACCATTGGAAATGCTGGTTATTTTACCAAGGCTTTGACTGGAATATCATATTTGAGAAAGACTCAGATATGACCAGATAGCTTAAAGGAACTAAGGTTGATTTTATAAAACCTAGAGCCATAAAGCCCCTTGAAACTGTTGGCCTGATACCTTGCTTACAGAGTTCCCAGCAGCCTCACCAGGTGAGTAAAGAATGTCACTTCCTGGTAGGATACTTTGGGAACCTCAGAAAGAGGAATTCGCCCAAATTGACTGGTATTGCAGGCATGTCTGATGGCAAGTACTTGGCTTGGCTTCTGGCCCGGAGAGGCTACTAAAAGTTCAACCTAGAAGATTCCTTATAAGAAGTTCCAGCAAAGCAGATTCTAAAAGATCTATATAATTACTCACTGTTCTTGCTGAGCTTATGTAAATAATTAGGCCACATTTGTTAAAACTGGACTTGTTTTTCAAATAAGTTAGTTCTGATTTGGCTATCTCTGAAAATGAGGGTTATTTTAGAAAGAAAAATCATGTTTCAGTAACACATCTTTGTGAATATTAAGTTCTAGATTTTGTTTCCTTTAAATGTTTGTTTACCTAAGCTAGACAACTTGAGGGAAACTTCAGAGAAGTTACACAATAGCTCTTTAGATGATCTTACCTAATATTCTGTAGGGATAATAACAAAACCCATTGGACACAAATATATGTTAGTTTTTATAGATACCTTTTCAGGCTGGATAGAAACTTTTCCGCCAAGCATGAGATGACAGAAATAGTAGCAAAAAAAAAAAAAAAAACCACAAAAAACAAAAAACAAAAAAACAAAAAACAAAAAAACTACTAGAAAAAATAATTCCTAGGTTTGGGTTGCCTCTCATGATCAGGTCAAACAACAGCCCTGCATTTGTAAGTTCAGTCTCACAGGCATTAAAATTAAATTAAAAACTACACTGTGCCTACTGGCCCCAGAATTCTAGACAAGTAGAGAAAATGAACCGGACTCTTAAAGAAACCTTGACAAAGTTAATTCTGGAAACTGGCGGTGGATGGGTGGATCTCCTTCCCTTCACCCTCCTTACGGCATGATGTACACCCTACTTAAACAAGGTTACCCCATTTAAAATAATGTTCAGAGACCCCCTCCACTCTGCCCACGGCTACAAGTGGTTGCCCTAGTGGAAATGACTAATCAGTCTGTACTCTAGTCACTGCAGGTGCTAAAGTCTGTCTTAAAAGGAGCCCACACAGGGATCCAAACTGCCTACACTGAGACAGAGACAGAGATGGAACCACATCCTTACCAATCTGGAAACTTGGTTTGGATACGCTGCCACCAAATAAAAACTTGAAGCCTCGCTGAAAGGGAACATTCACTGTCATCCTGACCACCCCATGGCAGTAAAAGTAAAAGACATTAGGATCTGGATTCACACGTGTCATACCAAATGAGCTGAAAGCAAGAACACCCCCCAGAAATGGGAACCACTGCTGGTGGACCCCACCAACTGTGGACTAAAACTAAGACTCAAAAGAGTTTCATAACTTGGTCACTTTTAACCCTGATCCTACTCAGCAGCAGGCAGGAAACAACTTCCTTAAGGCACCCACTGGAGCCTGGTTTGCTTGCAGTTCAGAAAAAGTCAAAGAATTGACTAATCTCCAAAGAAAAGGGGGGAATGTTGGGGCCGATTTCATGTTAAAACCTGTTAAAGCCCTAGGGCCTGCCTGTGTCTACTTAGCCATAGTGACTCCATGTTGCCTAGGTAGACATTTTGTTGTTTAATAAATGCCTCAGCAGTTACTGATATCAGTTCCAGGTAACTGCTGCTAAAACACATACCTAAAACAAGGCCATTTTGTTGTATCAGTTCCGGGTAACCGTTACTAAAACACACAGGTAGGAGACATCCAATCAGCCAAACCCACATATGTAGAGGTCTGCAGTTGTGCCCTATAAAACTAGCCTGTCGGGTGCCTGGGTGGCTCAGTGGGTTAAGCCGCTGCCTTCAGCTCAGGTCATGATCCCAGGGTCCTGGGATCGAGTCCTGCATCGGGCTCTCTGCTCAGCAGGGAGCCTGCTTCCCTTCCTCTCTCTCTGCCTGCCTCTCTGCCTACTTGTGATCTCTGTCTGTCAAATAAATAAATAAAATCTTTAAAAAAACAAAAAACAAACAAAAAAAAACTAGACTGTAAGACCAAGGGGGGGTCGCTCTCTTCGGAGGCAGTCCTGGCTGGTCAGTCCAACTTCTAATGCTTGGCATAGAATAAAGTTTTACATAACTTTCACTTTGTCTCAGCCTCTTTCCCCTGGCCAGTCAGTCTAACTTCCAGTGCTTGGCATAGAATAAGGCTTTGCATAACTTTCACTTTGTCTCAGTCTCGTTCCTTTGATAACAGACCCAACACCATGAATTCATTTTTCAGTCAGTCTTTTTATTGTTTAATGTTGGTAGTTTCATTTAGTTGTTATTTTCTCTATAAATTACAAGAGCTCTGACCTATGTTATGAAAGTATTAATAGATTTCACCTTAAAATGAAAACAAAAAGATTGGATAATATCTCATACCTGGAATTCATCACATGAATGTGGATGTAGAGATAATAGGGCTTTCATGGTCTATAATGGTTTGTAGGAAGAAATAACTCCATTTAAACCATTGGGACCTCCACTGAGTGAGAAAACGTATATTCAGATAAGTATACCAATTGGTATATGATTTAGAAACAAAGATTTTAAGGAAAATTCCTCAAGCCAGGTAGGTACTATATCTGGTCCTGGACACCAGTTAGTTATTTATGGGGAGTTACTGGACTCATATTAATCCATTTAATGTATAAGATAATTGTATAAACACATCAAAAATGTACCTACATGTACATATATTATACATATATGCATATATATATGCATATTGACATATACAATTTTATTTAGGTACTTTAGATTTAATCACACTTAATTCTGAATGATCTAAAGAATTTTTCATCATTAATCAAAGTAATCTTAGATGTTTCTACAATGGGGTGAATTTTACACTTTTAATTCAAATATTTTTTTAAACATTTCTTTGTTTTGTATCTTCTTATAAATGGATTCCCAAGTATTCCTTTTTTTTATGCCATCGTGTTTAATAAAACCTGTCAATTTCTATGGGAAGATATGTAAAATCTGTATTAGTCAGATTTTACACACTATTTTAACAAACCAGTCAAAAACTCAGTGGCTTGTCATACTAAGCATTTGTTTCTATATTCATGGATGTTCAGGTTGACAATAATTTGGATAATGCACGCAGGGCTCAGCTGTGTGGTTCTTCTGCAGGGAATTGAATGGTTCTCCAGTCTACGGATTGTGGTTGATCTGGGGCCAAGACAGAGTGTGGTGACTCCCCATGGCACATCATTCTCATGGCAAGCTGTGGGAGCACAGAGAAACCACAAAACAAGCAAATCTAAGTCCAGTTATTCTGACAGAATTACATATAATTTTGTTTTATTCTTACTGTGGTCTTCATAATTCTTTAAATTTCTACAAATCATTATTCTATTTAATGTTTAAGATACATGATCATGTTATTTCTGAATAATTATATTTTTCCATATTTACAGTCTAAAAAGAATTTTGTAATTCTATTTTGTATGAATTAGAATGTAAAATTGGAGGCGTTTTTGACCTGTGGCTTTAATTCAACAGATGGCTTTCAATTGAAATGTGTTAAGTGAAAATAGAAAATTAAAGAAAGGCTACTTTAGGGAAAGTAATAGTGCTCTACAACAGAGCATCTAAACCTTACACAGCTCCTGCTATCTTGTTAAAATGGAGAGCCTTGTGAGTAGGTATCAGGTGGAGACAGCTATTTCACATTTGCCACAAGCTTTCAGGGTTGTTGATGATGCCCTGGCTTATAGAGGATTTTAAGAAACAAGATATTTTTATAGTAAGAAAAAAATGTTTCTTCCACATTTAGTTTTTTTTTTTTTAAATCACGAAAGTCCTTCATTGTCTAGTTATTTCTATATACATGACACAAGTACCTCATTCTTCTGTTCCCTCAGTCACTTAACAAAATCTCCTTGTTTTGACCTAATGATGGTAGCTAGAAGCATATTCAAACATGTTCTGGGGCATTCCCCTAACTGGCCAACTTCTGAGAGATGTAAAAATAGTGACCATCCCAGGCTGTCTTCTGTCAAATCCCCGTCACCACCATCACTTCTGGAAGCACATTTCACAGAGCCTTCTTTCCTCTGTGGTGCCCTATGGAGTTGCTCAGGAGGCACCTTACCCTAGAACTGAGGTTAGATGAGGAGGATTCAGTGCCTTCCATCAGCACCTGCAGGAAGGTAAGTGGTAAGTGAGGGACAGAGAATCACCTGGGGAGGGGCTGCAGTGGCTAGAGCATCAGCCCCTCCATCCCTGGCCATCCTAGATAGGCCTGAGGACCACGTGGTTAGGCAGCCTGGATCTCCAATGGTATAAATTCTCTGACTTATGTGGGATCATCAAGGAGTCACTGTTTCTAGTGTTTGCTTCCCTTATTATATCCCCAGTGCTTTGAAAGAGTGATGTTTAAACATTACTTCCTTTTAGGAAGCAATCCCTGCTTGGAATACCTAGAGTGGCTTCTCTTTTGCTGTGTAAACCCCAGAGGATGCCATCACCCACACTCCTCAGTTGTAATGATCTGGTGGAATGGGAGTCAGTCAGGGGGCCAAGGAGCCTCCTTGCCCTTCTCCCAAAGCCCCCATGACTTCCAAATTGTGACTGTCCTGAGAAACTGTCTGAGCAGCCCCTCACATCTGCATCTCTGGTGGTTTATGCTCTGACCTGTAACACTGTGGGTGGGTAGCTGTTAGACTTCAGTCAGTAGTAGGTCCCAGTATCTTCAGGCTCCAGGCTGCTGATGGTAAAGTGAAGTCTGTCTGACCCACTGCCCCTGAACCATGATGGGACCCCAGTTTCCAGCTTGGATGCTTCATAGATCAGGAGCTTAGGAGCTCTCCCTGGCTCCTGTTGATACCAGGCTAGCCACTTGTTAATGTTCTGACTGGCCTGGCAGGTGATGGTGACTCCTTCTTTTGGAGCCATGGACAGGACAGCAGGAGACTGGCTCAGCACAATCTCTCCATGGGAGGCTGAAACCACACAGGAAACATCAGCAGAGTCTCAGGATATGTACATGGAAGTCACCAGTATCTAGTTAGGTAGGACAGAGAATACTACTTATTTTTAAAATAAGCCAAATTCATCTGTGGAAAGATTCCCAATGAAGAAAGAAAATCAGGATGGAAAATCATACCCCCACTTTAAGCTGTCTTGTTCAAATATTCTCATCTGGAACCCAGAGGAGCAGAAGGCCAAGAACTGTGATGGAGTCATCATCTTGCTGCTTTCAATGGGTCCAGTGTGTTCATGCCACACACCCAGAGACTCTGGTATAAGACTCTGAGAGGCAGAAACACTTCAAATCTAAAAGGAAGTAGATACACAAATTATGGGGCATTCCTATTGCTTAAGTACTCAAAAATTAAGTTTGTCAAAAGAATCCCCCCACAGGGCCCCATTCTCCTCTGGGTATGTTATCTCCCTCTTCTGGCTATGTGGAGGTTTTGAAAGTACTTACCCCATGCTGGGCCAAGTTGGTGGGCCCCAAGCAGCTGGGCCATGCTGCTCCCCAAGGAGCAGGGGGCATGGCATATAATGTAAAGCAGTCCTCTGTTGACTTCGCTTTCACAGCAGTGAAGAGCAGGTCACATCCTCAATCTTGGCCCAGGGTTCCATTGACTCCCTGCTCCCTGCTACGGTGCGTTTGTTGTATAAACATCCCCCAGAGCATCCCGCCAGGCCATACTCTATCAATTGCATCCTGTTAATTGCACACGATGAGCAAGAAATGGTGAGGACTTCGCTAACTTGCAAAAATACATGTGCTCCAACAGTAGGATGCAAACCGTACAAAAATTCATGTGGCCCCCCACCTGGTGGCTATGTCAGGGTCCAGATATCTGAGGAACGCAGGCACATATTCTCCAAGGTAAAGGACAAGTGCTTGTATCTTGTACCTCCAACTACTGAGGTTGAAGCACAGTATCTTGTTGAGTGTCAAGTGTTGAGTGTTGAGACAACACATTCCACACTTGGATAAGCTACACCATTCTGTTTATCAGCTAATTTTGAAGTCACCAGTGTAGAGTGGACTCAGAGTCAGGAGGGACTCTGTATCAGGCTTAGGTCTTGATATAAGTGGCCCTATCATGTGGGCCCTATGACCTCTCTTATCATTTGGTGGTACATGCATCTGTGTCCAGGAAGGACGTTGTGGATACTCTGGCAAGCCCAGATGAAGACTCGTAGATAGCACAGACTTCTCGGTTCTTCATCAAGACTTGGCCCTTCTCACAAACGCCCTATTCACTGTCCAATGAGTAGTTCCCAGCATAGCACAGGCCCTAGTAGACCTGTCCATGGAACATCAATTAACTGTGTGACAGAGCTGTTTGTCCTAAACCAGAAATGTCAGACACACCAGATTGGGTGGAGCCCAGCAGCAGACAATCTCAGAAAGGAGATAGTATTTTCTTTATTCTTGAACCCAAGCAGATTCAGCAGGCACACAATTTATGGGACAAGAGTTTCAGATCACCACATACTCACCACTCTTGCCCAAACACCCCTGCATGAGCTTATTTTCAGCCTCATGAGGCTTTATATTTAATCTATTTTCTTTCTTTTTTTTCTTTTAAAGATTTTATTTATTTATTTGACAGAGGTCACAGGTAGGCAGACAGGCAGGCAGAGAGAGAGAGAGAGAGAGAAAGAGGAGGAAGCAGGCTCTCCTCTGAGCAGAGAGCCCGATGCGGGGCTTGATCCCAGGACCCAGGGATCATGACCTGAGCCGAAGGCAGAGGCTTTAACCCACTGAGCTACCCAGGCACCCCCTTAATCCATTTTCTTATTTCTGCATTCTTGCTGCCCCAGCCAAGAAGGGACCTCTTCTCATAAAATTATCTAATTCCCAGAGGCGGTAAAAGACTTGCACAAGGGCATACGTTTGATATGCAAGCCACACAATCCTGAGTCCAAATCCTACTCTTTTCCATTCAATGAGAGGTGCAATCTGTGACATTTCCCTCTACCCAAATCCCCTGGGTACCAGAGGACAAGGGGCACACCTATAGTCTGCAGCCTGCTGAAATTTTCAAACTCTCCAATCTTATATCTAAGTAGCTTGTTGGCTTTGCTTCTCCATTGCTTCTCATGAAATACACAGTAAAAAATACAGGCCAGCAGTACTTCTCTCTGCCTGTGCATCTCACCTCGGTACTGCCTGTGTTGCCATGGGGCATGCTGTGTGTTCTGTTCCCAGGGGACTATGCATATAATAAAAACTTCTTACTGCATTGTAATAGCTCTCCTGTCTTTGTTTCTTACCACAACTCATTAAAAACACAGGGCCTCCCCACCAGGAAATAGAGAGAAAGGACTCCAGGATCAGCCATGGTTCAAATCATATGTTGATGAAAGTTAAACTGAACAGCTCCCATACCATTCTGTAATGAAATAAGATGCTTTTTTTAGTAGACGCTCGAAGAGCACAAATGGTCATTGACTGAATGTGGCTGGGGAAGTGACCTGAAGTAAGGACACAGATGGTCTATGGGGTGGCTGGCTAGGAAAGGTCTGGAAGGAAGAGAGTGTAAGGATAAAGGAGAAAAGATCAGAGGCAAGAAATTATCCACTCCATATCCTCTTTCTCCATATCCTTTATAATCTTTGATATTTCTTGGGTTTATTTATTTATTTATTTTTGATAAATAGATACTGAATTTTATCAAATACTTTTTCTGCATCTGTTGAGACAATCCTATGATTTTTACCCTTAAGTTTGTCAATGTGACATTAATGCTGATTGATTTATAGATATTGAATGATCCTTGTATCTCAAGAATAAATCCTACTTGATCATGGCATATGATCCTTTTAATGTATTGTTGAATTTGGTTTGCTAATATTTGGTGGAGGATTTTTGCATCTATATTCATCAGGGATTTCAGCCTCCAGATACAGCCTTTCTGTTCTGGATGCCAAGAGCTACAACCTTGTCTCCTCTTGCTCCGGGCAGGGCTGGCCCCCCAGAATGGGATCCAGGAGGGGAGGCAGATGCACATAGCTTGGGCTACTTGAAAATATAGACTCATGAAAATGTGAAATGCAGCCTGTTCCAAACTGCATGTAGGTGAACAAATGTTTCATTTCAAACCCTGTTATTTGCCCTATAAATATGGCCCTTGTGGGGATTCCACTGGAAGTGTCCCCTGAGGGGAGAACACTCTGCCCAGGCCTCTCAGTCGGGACTCCAACCTGGTTGTCTCCACGGGGTTTCTCCAGCTGGTGACGTGGGGTGTTGTAAGTACCCGATAGGAGGTGAAGTGGCCTTATTCTCATTTCTCGCCTACTATTCCCTTCCTGTACGTGCATATTCCTTTCCTCTTCTGTTTCTATTAGTTTTTCTATAATAATAATAAAGTTTTCTTTCCTTTTTGAGCCAAAATAGGGCTGTGGTGAATCTTTTGTGAGCATGGGAGATAAGGGCTCCTGATGTAAATGTTAATCACACTAAAAAATACCTTGGCATCAACATATAAACTGTCATTGACCATCCCACTAGGCGCCCGAGCCTACTTCCATGGACACAAAAAGTTAACCATCATCTAGAGCAAATTCAGGAGCGGAGTGATGGGAGAATTGACCCTTTGTGAGGGTGAGGTGTGGATCCCAAGGCAGGGTCTACTTGATACAGGCTCTGCCTGGATTTAGGAAATGGCTCATGTCACGAAGCGGTGCATTGGCCATGCAGACCCATCGAACAGCCAGGGTGCCACCTAACAGAGGAAGCCTCAGGCATCTGCCCCACTCAGAGGAAATATGGCAGAAGTGTTGTGGTTGGACTTGCAGTGCGTCCAAAACCTCCACAGCCTCTGCCCTCCTCATCGGGACTGCATGCTCATTGTCTTAAGGGAACCCCACACCTGCCCCCTTCCCTCTGTTTAAGAAGGAACAGCAGGATGAGGAACAGGTGCAGGAAGTTTATATGATACCCAAGCCACACTGCACTGACTTCTCAAACCCCTGGAGGGAACTGAATTTACTTGAGGCACCTAAATTTCATTCATTGGTTAATTCAGCACAACAGAAATACTGAGTTGAAAAGATAGAATAACTAAAATTGAAGATTCAGACTTCTCCTAGGTCCAGTGATGGTCCCACATGTCTCCCCGCGTGAGGAATTTCTGGGCCTGTCTTCCATCACTCATCTCTCTGGATCTTGCACAGCCCAGGACCTGAGGTCAGGTGTTTGCTGCATCCTTACCCATCTGCAGGAGAAAAATGGCTTCAGAGCTTGCTTTTTCCAGTCAGAGTTTTTATAAAAAGTTGGGCCCAAAGTTCTCCACTTTCTTTTTGTGCCTTCCAATTCTTTTGCTCTCCCTGCCTCCCATTATTTGTTTCCCAGCATGTTTTGTTATTTACCTTGGTTATTGAAATGAAGAGCCAAGCTCACCATTTCTGGAAACTGAACCCATTTAAAGATATTTTTAAATAGAAAATGGAAGCTCTTCATTTGATCTTGTAGCAGTTTGTCATTTTAGAAATTGTAAGTTGTTCTCAGAGCTTCTAAATTGACATTTGTGTGTTCCTGTCATACAACTCCATTTTGGAGTTATTTTTGGCTCCTTACATTTCCACTGGGTACTTTCACAACCCACTGCTTATGAGATTTGCTTCTGTTCCCCCTGACTGCTTTGCATAAGCCTCTGCAGGCCCAGGCCAGAGGCTCAGGCTATATAAAAGGGGCCTTTGTTACTGAGCTGAGCTGCGTCGGGCAGGCAGGGGCAGCAAGATGGCATCACAGAGGCAGGTCCTCCTCTGCTTGTTGCTGTGGGTCTCAGGTGAGAAGCTGAAAAGTGCCATAATCCCTCTGGAGTAGTGTCATTTTAAACAACTTTTTAAGATACATAATGAGAATCACTGGTTATTTCCAAAATAGACCCAATGATGTACTGACTTGTGGTACCATTAGGAAGCACGTTTGCAATGACATATTTCAGTGTGACTGGGATAAAGTGTGTCTGTATCACCATTTTTCTGATTGCAGGTGCCCATGGGGACATCACAATGACTCAGTCTCCAGGCTCCCTGGCTGTGTCTCCAGGTCAAGGGTCACCATGAACTGCAGAGCCAGTCAGAGTGTTAGCAACTATGTAGCCTGGTACCAGCAGAAACCTGGGCAGGCTCCCAGGCGCCTCATCTATGGTGCATCCAACAGGGACACGGGCATCCCAGACCGGTTCAGCGGCAGTGGGTCTGGGACAGACTGCACCCTCACCATCAGCAACCTCCAGGTGGAAGATGTGGGAAAGTATTACTGCCTGTAGTATGATAGGTTTCTGCCCACAGTGCTTCAGCCTCGAACACAAACCTGCTCCCCAGGGCCACAGGTCAGGGAGGCTTTGCTGTGCCAGCTGTTTCCTCCCCTCTCAGCCCTGAACATGTGGGAAGTCTGAGAAGTCACTTCTCCTGACTTACTCCTTGCAGGATTTGTAAGGCCCAGCATAAAATGAAGGGAGCTGGCTTTTCCTGCATTCCCCACCCCTTTAAAAAAAAAGAT